GTAGGGAAGCTCAAATAGAATTAAAAATGTCGTATAATAACTATTTTTGATCGGGTATAATTTTACAGTAATAAAACCTTAAAAATTTAAAACATCTACAGGGTGTCCCAAAATAGTTTCGACTCCCGAAAATGAAGGTTTCTGGGACGATTTGAAACAACATTTTCGCTAAGGAAAAATTTGTTCCAAATCATCCCAGGAACCCCTCATTTTCGGGATTCGAAGCTATTTTGGAACAGCCTGTATACACCTGGAACACTCTGTATACTTTCGAGGTATAGATACACGCCTCTAAGTCCGTGAACAAAATTTATAAAACATCTCACGTGTCTTATCTATGTCCCTTTTGTTCTCCAAATATCTAAAGAATCGTGTGTAACACAGGTGATTGTTTTAACAAACTTTCAAAGCTACCCAAGCCATCCTTGATTCTTCCCCCAATCCCTATAACCAAAACAAAGATGGCTGCCGCGCTCTACCGTTCAAAACATCCGCAGTCTTCTCACGATCACCTTTCAACGTTATACACCGTCTTATAGTACTGTAACATAACAAGTTTAATCCCTCGAGGAACCTTACGAGGAGAGTTTTCACGAACCGATTCGTCAGTACGTCGTTCGCGGCACATCAAAAGACAGATAACTCTACAAGGCGCATGAAATCCTGAAACGTGTCATGCAAGAAGATCTCCTCTCGGAGAACGTTCGCGGAACAAGTCGTAGATCAGGCGTAAACGGAGCACGACGTCCTCGTAAACGCTTCCCTCGTCTCTCCGATTCTTCACATCGACGTCTGTCCAGCACGTTCAAGACGTCGTGCTCCGTGAAAACAACGGGACCTAAGTCAACCAGCTTGAAACTACGATGCAAACTAAAAGGCAGCTGGGGGTATCAAAGAACAAACGTAAAGGGCGGTGTTTACGTTACGGCCCTTTGATCGACCCTTTCGGAAGTTACTTCCGCTTATTTTATCCTGTCGCTCGAGGCGACAGGGATATCCCAGACGGCTGACAACCGTTAATGTGCTGAAACGTAGGGATAAATTTACGACTGAATTCGAAACAATGATGGAAGGTGATTAAGTAACTACAAGATAGAAGGAAATGTAATTTTGAGTAATAAAATCGAGGCAATTTAGTATTGTATGAAAATTGTTAAGAAAGGTGTGATTTCAAAGACTAAATTGTACTGCATTTGCCTTTTTCAAAATGACGTAGGGATAGACATGTTTTATTCGTTGTTTAAGAAAATGGAAACTGAAGCTTGTATTTATTAATTAAGACAAAATATGAATTTTAGGATAAAGAGATTCAGGACCATCAGTTTTATATTAGATGTATGTAAATGTAATGGTTGTTTTTTCGTCGAAAATATGTACTAATGTTAAAAATTACTGCAGTATAATTACTCGAAATAGTTTCCCCCATTTTATATAACTTTGGCCATTATTCTGATAAACGTTCAATTAGAGCCACAGTACCAACTTAAATGCAGCGGTCATTATCTTTGCGTACACCTAGTAGCGGTTTTTACATCAATGTTTATATACACTGAAAGAAGTTCAACCCCGTAACTAGAAACAAACATTTATATTAAAATATTCCACAGAGACTAGGTTTAATTAAGATCCATTAAGATCCCAAACAGTTAACAAATTAAATACCACAATAAATCTTAGCTGATACAGTTTCCACTTCATTAAAGAAAAGGTTATAAACATAAACCAGTAGAACTCTTAATAAACGCTGTCAATCACCACGTTAAACTAGATCATAGTCCATCAAAGGCCATGAAATTCATAAAAAGAAATTACCTATAAAATCTCAAAGTGTATCATTAAAAAGAAACTATTCTCCAAACATCTCCTTTCGACACCAAGTGTCGCGTAGTAGCGGCTAAAGGACCTCGATGGTATAAAATTTACACTCTAAATTGTGTTTTCAATGTCTGTTGGTGTGATAAATGAATGAATACGAAATTTAAGAAGTTTTAGCAATAGTATCTGGTTGGTAACGTGTCGTCAAGGGATATACCTGTCGAAGTTTGATGGTTAGAGTTTAACCCTTTCGATATAGTTATGTCTACTGGAAAACGGATCACACGAACCATACGCGTACTTTTGAGTAACACAAAAGTTGGCAATACTTCCGTCCGTGTAGATATTAAATTATAAATAATCATTAAATAAGAAAACAAACGTTCAGTAAAATTGTAATTACAGTCAAATTTAATATTAAATCTACTTCAACAGTTTAAGTACTGATTAATGTATATGATAGCAAACGAAGGTTGATTCGAGGCGAACGACTATAGTTCCCCATAGTATCGAAAGGGTTAATACCAAATTATTTACTTACGTAGAATAGTTAAACAACCACAATAAGAATTCAATAATCAAAATTGATAAAGTAAATTTACTTATCGCCATTGATTATCAACTATACGAAAATCAGCTATACTTTCGTGTGGTACAACCTAATATCTGAACCTAGAGTCAGAGTGTACTAAGTCCACTTTTTTAAAAAAACGATATTTTACATGCTTCCTGTATCAAATGTTTTACTCTTTCCGATGGTACAAATTATTTCGTTCTAAGTCATCTAGCTTTCAATATAGGTACATAATAGACTAAAAATGCTATTAACTTTATATTTTTAAAACGGCGTAAAATTCATCACATAGGGGAATTAATGCAAAGCTCACCATTACTACAGAGACTAGCCTTAAATCCATTCAATAGTTCGAAAGTAGCGATTATTTCTCGCTCCATTTTTTTCCGAACAGTTCCACAGTTCCAAAGTTCTCGTACCATCGATTTGCTCTCCTCTAAAGTTTGCAAAGTGTGGCTTAATAACATTCTGGCTCTGGGGTCCAGACATACCTTAGGACACCACGAAAACTAAGGAGTTACCCAAGGGACGTCGATCCACCTAATCTCATTCAAGATGACTTCGCTCACGGCAACGTCACCAGGACGCAAGCAAGTTACTACAATAGCTCGCGGATAGGATCTCCGAAAGGGTCGACCATGGGGCTCGATTATGCACGTTCAGATGCATCGGCTAATAACCGTATAAGCGTGGAAAATCGGGAGATAGAGAGAGATAGATTGAGATAGTGGGTAGAGTGGAACTTTACCTTCGGGTTGATTCACGGTCCCGGTCAAGTTCTCCCTGTTCTCCGCCTGTGCCATGACGTTCAGCTCGTGGCTCTGGCGCAGAACGGACACGCGGTAGAAATAGTTCCGCCAGAACTGCTCCTCGGATATTCTACGTGGACAGGTAAATTAATCGAGTCGTGAGACACATGTGGATTCGATATACAGGGTCTCTCACCGGATTTTGTCATCTTGATTTTTTCGCTATTGTTACTCGTAGCAAAAAATGTTTCAGCGGAGACTTGAATGGTATCGAGTGAAGCATATTCTGATGTTATTAGTGTTTTCGTGAGTGGACGCGTAAGGGTCATATAAAGGTCAACTTCGTTTTTTTAAATGGAATGAGGTATTTCTTAATACATCAACCGATGCAGCTGAACATTCGTTGTAAAAAAAGTATTAACCTATGTATGTCGAAAAGTTAGTAGTTTAGGAGATATTTCAATTTAAATAATTCTAAAATACCATTACTGTCGTACTAAGACGATAGCGTTTATTTACTGGAATTACACGAAAAAACTAATTACATCAGAATATGCTCCACTCGATACCATTTAAACCTTCGTTGAAAAATTTTTTGCTACGAGTAACAATAGCGAGAAAATCGAGCTGTCACAATCGGGTGAGACACCCTGTAGAAGGATGGGGGTTTGACGATCGTTCCCTAATCGGACACCGATTTGGAAATTGCCAATTAACGCCAGCCACCGATTTAATTTACACCGGTAATTAATCGATTCGTAGCCATGTGACACGAGTTTTCTGGTCAATGCTTGAAAAGTGGATACGGATCTGATTGCGAACTACTACGGGATATACCAGGGGTAATCGCTTCCGTGATTAATTTCAGAGGTTAGAGGACGCGGCTGACGTTCCATTGGCGATGGGTCTGATTATCTTTAAGTAAATCTAAATCCTGCTTTGTGATTCTGTGATAAATGATTCTTGTCTAGGTGGGAATTACCTTTCTGCAAACGGTGTGTTAATAATAGAACTATCGAAGCAGTGAAAACGACCAGTTCCTAAACTCTTATAAAAATTATTACGATATCATGACAGTATATTTTCTGAAATTCTATTTTGATCACTGATGTTCAAACTGTGCATATTACAATATGTATTATACTTCCAAAAATACATAGTAAAGAAAATTTAAATGCATTCTTCGAAATTACGTATACTTTGAATACACAATAACACTCTAATCTCACATTTTTAATCCCATGGCTTTCCACTATCTTAGACCGTAAAAAAATTAATATCTTAATAAAATTCACAACACAGAAGACAGGAAATCTATCACAATTATATCAGACAAACTTATATCAAAAGATAATTTTAGTAATATGTTTATATATTTTAATCTAGAACAACCAGAAATTCGGATAAACAAGTAATAAACTATAAATTGGATAAAAAGAACGACTTACTCCTTAGGTACCAGCTGGAACCTCATATTTTCCAAATTCGGATCGAGAGCAAGGGTGGCCTCGGCCATTGCCTGTACAGCCTCAAAGTCCCATGCGAAATCAACACCCACCGGTGGGGGTCTTAGGAAGTTACTTTTGTCCTGGAATCAACGTTCTCTTTGAATTATGTATTCCACTCCGTCAACTTCGTCCTACTGAGTTTCGAACATGAACACGTGTGTGAGGCTCGCTAGCAACGATCGGCTCGGTCATGAAACTCTGAACCGTCCGCGTGGAACTATCGACGACAGTTTACGTTCAACGACACGTTCGCGTTATTCGATTACAAAACAGCACATTATACCCGCTGGTTTCGTCGCTAATGCTGTCAACGACCTAGCGCTTCGAGAGTTTAATCACCAACTCGTTTAAAAAATTCGTTCGATCCTCTTTCATTGTATACTATAAAAATGTAGATAGAAGAACATTTGGTGCTATTTAATTAAACAAAAAGTGGACTTGAATTTTCTTCGTGAAGAATAATATTTTTAACCCTCGTCCAATGAATGCAGGGATATTTTGACCCATCGGTAATTGTTGCATTGTTCTTTGTAATTGTATGTAAATGTAATATATAAACATGAAAATATACATAAAATTTTAGGCATAAGTCTTTTTTGATACCCATGTAGAATGGAAATTCTACTATGGGTCAAATTGACCCTGTATTCGTCTGCCGCGTCAGTCGTAGACCATTCGCCTTCCGAGGGTTAGATACAGGCACTTATTCCTTGCTGAAAATTAACAATCTTCTAATTAAATTTGTTTTTTAAATTATTTTACACTTTCAATTTTATGTATATATTCCACGACACAATTAGAGGATGGCATATTGCAGATACTGTGTCCACCAATATGACAAACAATTCTTGTAAAATTCTGTTATAAAAACAAAACTGGGTTTTAATGCCACGCAGAAAAAATGTCAATTTATCAAACCTATAGCTTTGTTTGTACGACAGGATCGCCCACAACAGCGGTCCTCCAATTTTTTCATGCAGCGAATTGTTTGGTTACTATTTTTTTACAACAATTCAAAAATCAGTAAAAATACTCTGATGTCGCTCCTGTAATTAATGCAATGCAATTATTGTAATACAGATATTACAATACATTAGGTGAAAATAAATCACTACTCAGTGATAGTGGGTCTTGTTCTACAATGCTCGCAGTAATTTCCAAAGAAGAAAAGAATAAGAAGGAAGAAACTTAAACTCTATTATCAGTTCATGAAAAAAAAAAAGAATTATTTATTAGTATACCTAACAATTAAACGCAAGAATTTTTAAAGAACCAGATAAACAAATAAAAACGTAAAAAATTATATGATGGAATAAAAATGACAAATTAACTCGTGTTCCTCGGTGAAAAGAATATATAAAATTGTTTATGACGAGTTCAGATGCGAACAATCCAAGAAAAGTACTTGGTTTATATAAAGAAAGCATTACTATTCAGCAGAATAACATCAATTCGCATGAATGTCAGCACAGTTCACAAAGGGTGAACAGCCCCCGCGTGTAAATGAAAGCGAAGAAGTTCCCCCATCCAGCTCGCAAGACGTTTCTTTTCTGTTACGAGATTGCACGGGAAAAGACGGAACGTCGGACGGCTCATCGTTCTCGCGCGTTAATGACGAGAGTAAACGTCGCGTAAATTGTATCGCGGCTACCCGGGTCCCCTTTGTGACACGTCGAGCATCCTGGTCATGTTCTCCACGCGCCCAACCCCATTGTACCGTGGGAAATTCGATTGCAACTGGGGTTGCATCCTTTCCCGAGAACTCGTGAAACGAACGGAAAATCGAGTCACAGAACAGTGCACGTGCATTACCGGTACGAAGTAAGGGACCGTGTTTCGTAATTGGTTAAAGTGGAAAATATTACTTTATAAAGAGATCGATGATGAAAAAATGTTCACAAGATATGCTACATTTCATGTGAATTGTCAATTTGTTATTGGAATATGTTGATGGGTGAATAGGTTTTCTGGTTTTTTTTGGGTAATTAGTTAGTTTTCTTAACTCTTTCATAATGGAGTGTAGAAACCAATGGCCAGATCACTTGTGGCTTATATTAGTTATAAAATATTGCACGTTGTTCGACCATCGTATTTCTGTCATTTGAGATTAAATTTTCTTAACCCTCACTTGACAGTTCTTATTTTGTTTCTGCATTTATCATCACTAGACTGCGGATTTTATGCATTTATTGTCTATAGACCTCTATGAAATATAATAAATAGTCTGCGGATTTTTATACAAAATAAAAGTTTCTACAGTATTTTCTAAAGACAGAAGGTAGAAATTTATTTTCCCTCTTAAGTATCTCATTGGGTTCAGAATAAAATAGAAAACTCGTAGGATCCGATGAAAGTTTTGTTTTTTATTGTATTTCACAGAGCCCTATAAGCTATAAATGCATAAAATCTGCAGTCTAATAATAAAAGACCTGCGCCAAAAGCTTCAAACCCACAGTCAATGAATTAAAGGGCTAAATGTTTTAATTAAATATGAGAAACAATGATTCCATTGGTCCAAGGGGATAGAACGTGTAAGAGGTGTACGGAAAAATGTGTAAAGAAATAACTCACCGTTGAGAGACACAAGCATTCTTCTCGCAGTACGTCCTCGTTCGGGGCGCCGACCCACGGTGCAACGGCCTCGCCCTTCTCGGTCGGCTTGTTGGCGATGAAGGCCTCCTGTTCTTTGTTCAGTTCGGCGACCAATCTCTGGAAATACCATTAATTCCGTATTAAATAGAGAGACACGTGGACGACCGGGTGGTTGGGAGGAGGGACAAGTGTCGTCTAGGATACGGGGACAGAGTGCAATTACCGGTGTCATCGATGGCTCTACCGGCACGGAAATAGATACGAGGAATCTGGGGGGAGGTAAAAGCTGGAGGGCAACGCGCGACACGGGTACGTTCACCCTCTATGTTAATTAGATCGTTATCACATTTTTGTCGATACCCGTCGTCTGCACGTCGCGGAATAACCGAGATCGTATCGACCCGTGATACGGGGGAATCTATGCCAGTGTCCTCGCTCGAACCTTCCGATTTTTGTTTTTTTAATTAACCGTCCACAAATTGGAATTCCGTTTTTAAACGTTGGGGATGGTTTCTGTACGAGATGAACGTACATTCCTGTACGTCACGGGATACTTATGCTATTAAATGTTAAATAAGGAAGAATTAAAAATTACTTTTATTTTTCTAGAATTACTTCTTTTTTAGGGGATAAAAATTACTTAAATTGTGAAATAAACGAATGCTTATTAATTCTGCACACCGCAGAAGAGATTTAAATTATATTCAGTTGAATATCCGTTTAATTAGTCAATTCCATTTTATTCAGGAATACTCATGCAAACGAATCGTGGCACTTTAACGGTGAATCTTTTAAAACAATTCTCTCCTGGGTCCACTCAAATCAGTCTGCAGTCACTTTCACTGGCTCTTCATTAACTTTTTACGCCTGTTTTTAATCGTTTTAGAAATTGATGCCAGAATTATTCAATTGCGATTGAATTTGTTAGACTATGGATAGCGTTGTAAAATATAAAGATGATTATTATTTTGTAATTTTTGTTAAGTAATTCTAAAAGATATTTGAGGTATGTTTAGTTTTGCGGAAGAATTGAATTAATTAGTGACACTGCTTCAGGAAAGTGCATTTCTGTTTCGATTATCATTTTTCTCTCGAAACAATCAAATGTCCAGTGACGTCTGCATGGTGGATTTAAATATCAGGAAAAATTAAGAAGATATATTGGTTTATGTTATTTTCACCGTTCAGTCAGACGCAATCGATTCTTCTGACTATTTTATGACGTTAAAATTGAGGTTGTGCTACTTGAAGAACATTTTATACATTCCATAATATACTCAGATATACAGGAGGTGATTGCATGTAAAAATAAAGTCGAAAATGTAGAATAAACAGTTATGGTACGATGTTTCGTTTTGAAGATAATGGAAAGGAAAAATTCGTCTAACTTTTATGCATTCGTGCTGTCAATAAGTAGAAACGAAATGTAATGGACAGACGTGTTAGTCAGGTCCTATTCCATTGTTCGCGTATCCAGCAGATTTTGGAATTCGATTATCTGGAAAACGGAAAATTATACGAAACAATTTTATTCTATATTTTCAACTTATTTCTGCATGTAAAATAACCTCCTGGCTGGTTTCACCAAGTGTTCTGCCCCACCCTGCATATGACATGTATAGTATGCCTGCTTCTTCATACAGATACTTGAGTTGCTCGTGTTTGTGTCGTACGAGAACGTTTATTACTTAAGAGTATTTGGAGTTCATGTATTTGTGCCTCACAAACTACCGCAATTTATACTCAGCTAATTGATATTCCCAGAATTCGGGAAATTATTTGCAGGGAATTTCTGTACTATCAACAATCTAGCAAATTGTCTTTTGATTTATGTTATCGCATTTACCGATCAATTTCGAAAATACACACCAACTTCGTTAATTATCGCAACTGGGTCCTTTGTGTGTAATAATTACCTCAATTACCAAATCACCGCAGTACTTAAAATATTCGTAACACATTTTCCAACAACTGAATAAAACACAATCATGCTGATATTTCTGACAATATTTTACTTTATATGTTCGTCAAAATTATGCAGTAGCTCATTCTATAACGAAGTGCAAGGTTCAGATACGAATTTTGTACGTAATTCAATTGAAGAAAATTAAACGGAAATTCTCGATTGTCAACGTGTTAACCAGATTCAAGGAACAAATTCATATTAAAATGTACCAACGAAATTTTAGTCGCAGTGGCTTCTAATTACCGTGTTATTATGGTTTATTAGTTAAGTACAGGAAATTAGAGCTAACAACGAGAATAACCCGTGGATAAACACGGGACCGTAGACGACGCGAGGTACAGCGAGACAAATGGTAAGGATTGGGATGGGAACGAAGAAAAATGGACGGGTTGGGGATCACGGGGATACCAGGCGTCTAAAAGGATTAAAGACGGAGGGAGTCCTGCGGCGACGGGGGCTCAAGCTCGGATAGGCGAGCTCCCTTATTATCGTTCTAGTATTTGGTTCAACCGACTTCCTGACTATGCGCAGAAGGTGTAAGATATCCGATATGGATCATCTCGCGTTTATTTCGTAACAGCTGGTAAAATATTTTGAGGAATTGAAGAATGTGTAGACGACCTATTTTAATTGTTATGCATTATATCAATATTAGCAGATATTTGTAATTATATTTTTGTTATATAATTTTTAACCGCCACGTGCTACCTCAATAATAGCAAGTGATTTTAATAATATTCTTGAACAGTCACACGTTCTACTTTAATCATAATATTTCAATCTCTTTTTAATTTTTTTTTTTTTTTTTTTACATTTTTAACGTTGCTTTAACAGCCAAGGTCATTAGCACGCGGTACGACTCTGAAATGAATATTGAAAGAAATTTGAAGAAATCAATATTGTGGCTATATTATTGAATAAATTACAAATGAACACACAAGCAAAAGTGGACTCACGCTGTTTTTTTAAATAAACGGCTGGTAATTACCTCAAGCTTCATTATTTAAACACTGAATAACCGGACCTCAGTTCTCAACAATGCATTTCTGCATTGTTGATCTTTATCCAATTAACAGATCCAATATGTAATTAACTGATAAAGATTCCTATGCGGCGTAATTAATTAATTCTGTGGCGCAGGTAATAATTCAGGGCAGAAAGGGTTAAAAAAAGGAAGTTTCGAGTGGAACAGATATCATTTCACATTTCATCTACCGACGTGGAGGAACGTATTTTCTTCTCGAAAGTTCTAAAATATAAACCATAAATTATACTATTCACTGACTACTACCTCTTACTTATCAACGTATTACCCTAGAACTCTGAAACTCGTTTCTACTTTTAATCTAAAAGTCATTATCAAACCGTCCCGAATTTCCAGAAGGAAAGTCGTGATCTCAAACGTGTCACACCTTGAAATCTTAACTACAGACGACTCATCCTAGAGATGAATAATTCGATTATGACTACTTCGCAGCACTTTTAATAACCAACTCAACGTTATTTCTGTTACTGTTATGGAAATAATGTTTTACTTACTATCAATTAGAGGTACTGAAACGTTCGAGCTTCTGAAATTGTCCATTGAAGTTGTGATAGCGAAATAAAAATTTGGAATCCCCTAAGTTAATCCACTGACGACCATAAGCGTATCGTACGCCACATGATTTTACTCTTTGAAATATTCATTTTTCCCTCAGTTGTATAGATTGCTCAGGAAAAATAATAATCTAACTCAAGTTAATATTTCTCATGGTTACTGGTTCGATGCACAAGTAATGGGAATTCTCAAAGTGATATTCCCTATTATTATCACCACAATTGTCCTAAGACAGATCATATTATTGTAGCGATATGTTACACAGTACACAAGGTAAAATACACAGTTGATAAAATCAATTATTTTCATGTTTAAATACAGTGTTTTGTTCTAACATGGAGATGTTTCCATAATTTATGCATCAACCCAATGCATTCAGAAATAATCCATTTATAACTGTTTTACTGAAACACGGCGATACCAACAGGAAAAGCTTAAAATCTGCGGTCGTCAGTGGGGTTAAGGGTTAATGGAACCGGCTTGTCAACATCGTACAAAACAAGGGATCGGTTGAACACATCCCTCCTGGGCTCACGTTATTTTCCCGGAAATTTTCAACCGCAGAATAATCGACGAATCTCATATACATCAGGCTAATATTAGAAACGTCACGTGGCAGCAGCGCGGCTCAAGTTCGTCTAGGTGAGCACCCTTATTATCGCCGGCGTTATTTGGGTCAACGAAGTTCTCGACTTTGCACGGCCAGCGCATCGCCGGTCGTCGCGACAACATTCTCCCCGTTAACCGCCCGAAACTTCCACCCCGCGAATCGATATTTTTGTTTCGTTGCCCCGTTCGAACTTCCCTCGTTAACCGTTCGTCGATCTATAATACACGTCGAACGAACGAACGACTTTTATAGCCAGTGGAAATTGAGACTATTAACGGCACATACACCAAAACGGTATTTCGAGAAAAAATCGATTTCAAAGTTTTAATTGGAGTATTATTTAATAAAAAGTAATGCAATTCAGACCAATTCTTTTTAAAGGTGTAGTAACAGATATCCTTTAAACGTTCTGAAAACTGTAGTTACGTTTTGAAGATAATATTTGTTTTTTATGAGTTTAAAAAAAATGTGCTTTTTTTCCATATATTGGATAAAATCGTGAAAAACCGGTCTTTTTTCTTTCTTTAATTAAATGTAGTTGCTTATTGAGTTTACGTTTTTTTTATATATTGTTTAAATAAAGTATACGAAATAAATGAAAAATACGCAATAAATTTAATTTTTTAAGGAGGCGCTTATTCCATAGGTTGGAATATATAATTATTGTTACTTGCAGCTTCAATGAATTGTGTGAAGGTATATTCAACAATTTACACAAAAGCTTTTAACAAAAACAAATATTGTACGACAGCATGACCCATGGGTGAGTGACCCTCGGGCGAACTATACATGTACTGCACAATGCTGTGCGAATTTTCAATATCGCACGGTAGTATAACAACATATATCTAATGTAAACATTAAAATAAAACATATCCTTTGTATGTTACATACCCGGTGTCCCGTAACTGGTGGTACAACCGGGTAGATAGTGATTCTAC